AGATCAACCCTGACTGCACTTTAGAAGGCCAGATCCTGAAGATGAAACTCAAATACTTTGGCCATATAATGAGAAGGAAGGACTCACTGGAGAACAGCCTAATACTAGGAAAGATTGAGGGCAAAAGAAGAATGGGACGATAGAGAATGAGGGAGCTGGATGGAGTCACTGAAGCAGTCGGTGTGAGCTTAAATGGACTCCAGGGGATGGTAAGAGGACAGAAAGGCCTGGAGGAACGTTGTCCATGGGGTCGCGATGGGTCAGACACGACTTCGCAACTAACAACAACAAGTACGGCCTTCCCCAGCTTGCCTTCCCCAGCACCTGGGGAACATATATAAAATAAACACTGTATCCCTTTCCAAAAGCCCAACACAATTTAGAAGAGAATCAAACATCCTGTGACAGAGTGATCAAACCAGTAACATCTCTTAGAAGAAAAACAACGAAGCGTAGACTAAATCCACTTCCACCCGAATTTTCCCCTAAATTACCCTGTTTTAAAATGCTCCAGGAAGGCCAGAAACCAAGCTTTGGTAAGGAGGCAATTTTTTACAGGATAGGAGGACCCGTCAAATATATTGGTCCTAGGTTATTTAGGGCTTTCTGGGTCAATACCTATAATTGTGCTTCGAAAGAGGGGGAATTCATGCAAATTAATTTGCCCGGGAATGGCCTTCTCTTGGTGCCAGAGACCAGTGAAACAATCTCATTGTAGATCGGTTTCGAAAGCACCGGAGAGAGATACAAATCATGAAACGCTTTGGGACATAACGATATTGTATTTATATCTTCAGCAAGAATAAATTGTGTTAAAACTGTCCAGGGTGAGACAGTCTATATGGGCTTCAGATCTGCTCCATAGTGTTGATCTGTGTATTTTGCATGCCGGCACACCATCGGTTTGAATGGAAAATAATGAGTGCTACCACCTGGAAAAAGCACTTCTATTTGCCTTCAAGAGTCTTGTAGAGTACATTTTTCTAAGATGCAGTATTTGCCACAATGTTCCGAACAGACAAGAAACAACATAATTATCTTTGTATTTGTAGATAGATATTTTCCCTTGGGGTCCCGAATGCTTATTTTCGCAGATCTACTAGTGCTATTGAAAGAAGCAGAAAATGCAGCAGGAATGGAACATCATTTTATGTTACATTTATCTTTGCCCAATTGATTAGAAGAGCAATCTTTTGCTCCTGTGTACAATACGATATGATAAGCCATGACTACATCATACATGGATGCATAATTTACATAAAATAAATGGAGGACGTAAGCCCTTTATAAATTTATAATGATTATACTCTATCACTCAAAAGCAATGTCAACACTTCCCTCTGCTACTATAAAACTAGCTAACACCCTCCTTCTCTTGCTGTAGCAGTTTTCAGACAAAACAAAAAACAAAAACAAAAACCAGAGTACCATACCGGTAAACTGTAGGTACTTTATATGTTACTTGTCTACACTTGCTACAAATCCTGAGTGCAAGCAAAATGAAGTTTCTCCTCACCTTCCCAGTTTGTCATTTCCCACATCACAAAGGGATGAGGAAGAAATAAGCAATCCTAAAATTCTTTCTGGTTATTCCTCCCCCTCATACATCCCATAAAGTTTACATTTATTTTGCGAAAGTGAAGTATGTTTGTGTGTCTAGAGCATTCATAACTTAGCACTTAATTAAGTTGAATCTTATTTGTTGATGTGTTGACGAAGTTTGGAGTGACACACACAGCACCTCTTTCACACTCCCAAACATCCCCAGGCACCCTATCTATCCTGTGCCACCTCTGCAACCACCATTTCCAACCAATGTGGAACCTCTGATCCCCCATGCACTCCTGATGTGCTACAATTTCCATGTGCTCTTAGTAAACCACTGCTCTTGTTCAGCCCCATATAGCATTTCCTGAACTGCAGCCCTGTGCACCTCGCTTCCTCTCTTACCCAGCAGCAGCAATCTGCCTGCTGGTTTTGAATTCCTTATCCATGTTGTCTTCCCCAATAATTTTCTCCCTACAAGTTTCCCATAGAAAAATGAATAGGGAAGCTGATAGGGAGGGAGGAAGGGAGGGAAAGAAGGAAGGAAGGAAGGAAGGAAGGAAGGAAGGAAGGAAGGAAGGAAGGAAGGAAGGAAGGAAGGAAGGAAGAAGGGAGGGAAGGAGGGAGGGAGGAAGGAAGGGACAGCAGTAAAAAAAAGCTAAAACAACCCTTGGTTGTATAAACAGAGGCACAGAATCAAAATCATGTGAAGTATTAGTATCACTTTATAAATCCTTAGTAAGATCACACCTGAAATACTGCATACAGTTTTGCTCACCACATTACAAAAAAGATGTTGAGACTCTGGAAAAAGTGCCAAGATGAGCAACTAAGATGATTAAGGGCCTGAAGACAAAAACATATGAAGAACGGTTGCAGGAATTGGGTATGGCTAGTCTAGAGAAAAGGACTAGGGGTGACATGATAGCAGTATTCCACAAAGAAGAGGAGGATTACTTATTTTCCAAAATATCAGAAGGCAAGACAAGAAACCATGGATGGAAACTAATCAAGGAGAAAAGCAACCTGGAATTAAGAAGAAATTTCCTAACAGTGAGGACAATTAACCAGTGGAACAGCTTGCCTTTAGAAGTTGTGGGTGCTTCATCACTGGGGTTTTTTAAGAAAAGACAGGACAGCCACCTGTCTGAAATGGTATAGGGTCTCCTGTTTAACCAGGGGGTTGGGCACGAAGACCTCCAAGGTCCCTTCCAGTTCTATTCTGACTGATTGGTTTCCGAGGCTCCTTGCCAGCTTCTACCAAGAAAACTCAATGCACAAATCAACAGGAAGTCAAAAGTCACGCCTACTCCCACTGCTTTTTTGCCTATCCATGGTCATTTTGTTTTTGAACATGAAGGCAAATGAAATGCAATAAAACAAAGAATAAAAAATGAATTTCAGAAAAACCGAATGCAAATACATTGAATAGTTAGTATGTGAGCAGAGATGTTGGCCTAAGGCTAAGAAGACTTTGGAACAGTTTCTCAGTCTTTAACCAAATCTACCTCACAGGGTAGTCTTTAGGGAGAAAACAGAAGGAGAGAGCACTATGTATGCTATCTTTGGTTCTTTAAGGAAAGTTGTGTAGAATTCAATCAAACTAACCAACCCAACAAGTTAGCTATCAGATAGTGAGATGTTCACATATGCACGGTACAAAATAACAAGCACAAAATGTAATCAATATCATAATGATTGCTTCCTCCTCTTTATATAATTTAGACGTCAATCATATACACACATACATTTGAAAAAATACCAGAACTAATAGGGTCAATATATATGCTGTCACCTCAGAAAAGAAATGTACATATTTTTCAGCAATATGGCCATTAGCATCTATAGAGTCAGCTGCTGGAAAGTGAAACAAATATTCAGACTTTGAACCAGTGTGCTAACAGAAAGGAAACTACCTTCACTTCTAAATAAATACATGGTTAGAAGTTGGAACAAATGCAAAAAATAAAAATAAAAATTGAATAGAGCTAAATGCAGACCTTGGGCAGGTGTGACTCACTAGTCTACATTAGTGGGATGATGTTTACTCTTTTCTTCCTATGCCTGAATTTTAATGGTTTATTTCATTTTAAAACAAAATAACCTGTTGTGGATAACCTGTTGTCAGACCTAGTTTGGGGTCTCAGTTTATGATAACCATTTGCAAGATAAATATAAGTATTTTGGTATTATCCAAGAAATGTCACACATTTCCGCGCTACGCCTCTTCCCAAAGGAATATTTTTGCGCCACGATTTTTCTGCTGTAACCACACTTTGTGTAGGAAACGGATATAGGCATGCAGAACAAGGAAGGACAACTTTATATCAGGATATAATTGTACAATTGGTGTAAATTGTGTTATTCAAATACTGCCATGACACATGTGCCATGATATCCCATCCCCACCCAATGACACCCACAGAATAGATGTTTGCTTGGGCACAAAATGCAGAGTTTTATTAACTTAGTTTTAGTAACAATTGTAGTACTATGAATCCTTTCACAAGTTACTCCATCCCTAACTCTACTGATGCCCACAGAAAGGATGTTTGTTTGCTCGAGCCGAAAATGCAGAGTTTTATTAACTTAGTTTTAGTAACAACAGTACTAGGACTATAGAAAGATAAATCCTTTCACTAAAACACACTGTCTGTAGGACAGTGGTGGATTGCCCCTGGTTCGGACCGATTCTATAGAACCAGTAGTAAAACCAGTGGGAGGCTCTGCCCACCGACCTCAACGTCATCAGGAAGCTTCTGCACATGTGGCCCCATTCCAAACCAGTAGTAAAGATAAGTAGAACCCACCCCTGCTGTGGGATCCTTCTGAATAAACAGGAAAGGAAATTGCATTTTAGGACCACTATTTTCTGATTAAACACCTTGACATCTACATCCATTGTCAGAGTGGTCTTTGTCATCAGAAAATGTCATTCAGAAAGTGCCTAAAAAGATTTAAAAGGAACCCCTAGAATCTTTGTCAGCAGTTGAATAACTCTAGTTAGCGTAACAATCAGTCGCTGTGATGCACCTCACACTCGTTTTATTTCTCTAATGTGACACAGTGCCAATGACAGTCTGTGACATTGATAACAGCAACTGTTTCTATTTCTCACCCCCTTGGAATATTTTTATATTTATTCTTCCAAAATAAAAAATAAAAAAAGGAGTCTAAGCCAGACTCTCTTCCTTATAGCTACCCTTGAATATATATTAGGCACACTTTTCTTTGCTGAATCATTCCTTCAGTACCTGAATAGTCCATTAAAAACACAAAAATGTATATGTATATATATATATATATTCTAACAAAATGATTTGGTTCAAGCAGTAGTTAGTCAGAAACCACATTTCTCAATCACTGACAGATACCTCATGGAAACTTTTATTTCTAGCATGGATTAATGTTTCGGGACATTTGGTGGGTGAAGAAAGGTTACGGAAGACTCTGACCTGGAATGCTATAACCTCTGGCCCGCCTTTCAGCCCTTCCATTGCAAAGGTCTCCAGGTGCAGCTTAGGCAGCTGCAGGGCGAAGTCATTCCTGCTTGCTGTAGCCCATGACAGCGAGATCTGATCTCTGACCTAAAAGGGAAAAAACAGTATCAATGGTAATTCCCCTTCAGACACATTAACTGGGATGAAGTGGGTCCCCTTGAGTCCACTGAGTGGACTTGCATTGATCGCTGGACCTGAAATCCATGAATAAATTTAGGACTAATTGATTTTTCGTTGCAAATAAATCTCTAATTCAGAGTGCTGGGAGAGACTGTTAAGAAGAAAAAGCTTCCTCCTCTCTGGGCTGAAATGAGATAGGAAAGAAAGTCACTTAAGGCTCCCCGTTCCAGTGGGGCAGCCCGCAACTCTACAAGGAATGCACGGGGTCTAGGTTTAAGATGTTCAGATGCACAATAAGATGGACACCGTCACGACATTAATTTCAGCAAACATGCCATCAGTGAACCACTTTTTTTAAAAGCTCTCACATTCACATAAATATCCTACTCTCATCAAAGAAAACACTTTTAAGTTAATGAAACTGTGATGTAGCAAAATTAGATTAGATAATGGAAATATTTTTAAGACTTCAGCTGCAGAACAGCTAATAAGAAGTGGTCATAAATGCCTGTGGAAACACTAAGTTCAAATATGAAGTATTTTAACAGTAGTAAGAACTACCTGGACAAATAAAAGGGAACAAAAAGAAAATGCATAATTTTTCCAATGCCAAGTAATTGGGATTTAAAATATTTCGATGTTTAAGAAACAACAAAACACAGAGCATCCTAAATGAGAGAGATCCATGTACTTGTGTGGACAACTACAATCTTATGCAATTGGTATTGTACTGCCACCTTCTGTTAAGGTGAGCAATACCTTCACTCATCTATAAAAATACAATGGGCAATATTTATAGTTTTTGATTGTTAGTTTCTATTTATACAAGATCAGATTCTATGCATAGATACTAGAGAATAAGCCTATTGGATAGGGGGCCTTCAGCTGAATATCACAGTATATCTTCCAGTAATACCAGAAAAATATCCACACACATCTTTAAGTCTGCTCATCTCCAGCAGTCACAAGCATTTATTTCTATTTGTAAGTAACAAGTGTCAGTATTACATGTGAATTCTAAACTATAAATTAGATTAAGCAGCTTATCTCAACGTTTTTTTAAAAAACAACAACCCAGCATCATTGCCCATAATTTATTAGTGTGTTTGAACTAATCATTGAGATTAATTAGATTTGGATGGATTTTAACAAAACTACACAAGATTTTTTTTAATGGACATAGAAATATGGAAATTTCTCATCTCCATCTTCCTTGAAGAGAAAAGGACAGAAGATACAAAGGCTCATAACTTATGATGACTTTGGAATACAAATAACAAGGCTTACTTCCAAATAGGCAGTTCTGTGTTATATACAAATGTTATTTTTGTTGTTGTTGTTTTATTAGGGAGGAAGTCCTTTGCTGCACATGTGATTTTGTCTTCTTAGTTTGCAAACTCTACTCTTGCAGCAATTAAACTGAACTGTACAATCCTGTATCTCAGAGGCAATATGCAACAGAAATGTTTTTAGAATGGAAACAGGCATATAAATCGTTCCAGCCACATTCTCCTGCCCTGCTAGTAATTGATGCAATAGTTTACTACGTAAACATTAACACTATCATAAAAATGACTGCTGCATTCCACGTTATTAAGAAGAGCCTTTCGTATTAATGATTAAATGCCTATGTTTTTCCTTGTAAGTCATGAAGATGTTAAGAAAGCACTGCTTTAATCATTTTTTTTTTACTAATTTTGTCTGTGTGTGTGTGATTCCTGAAGATGTGTTAAATCAAATGCTGGAGATCTATATACCCTGCACCCTGGTCTATGGGAATAGGGAATCTTACATTTTCCTGGTTGATATAAAGAATTCCTGTCAATATTGGTAGCTGTCAAACGTATGCACTATAATGCAATTTTTATAACGGTGTGGGCCCTCCACACGTTTCTATCTGAACTATTCTAGTTTTAGAGTAAAGAGTATAGAAGAACAAAAACCATCTCTTGGGCCTTCTGCAGTATATATAATTTTGTCCAGATAGTCATCTTGCTTAATGTACTACAAATGTCATTTTACTATATCTATAATAATACATTATCTCACTTGAATTGTTATAGACTATATATGTTAGCTTTTCGTCTTCTCATTGTAGCCAACATGCACCCAGATAAAAGAAAACGTTAATGTGGATTAAGGTTCTAAGAATTTATCAACATCAAACCACCAGTGTTTTGCCTTCTACCCTTCTGAACCATAGTCAATAGATCTAAATATTTTACTGCACCCTGGCCAATTCATTGTTTGATGTTTAAAAACGCACCCGGAATCAAAGAAAATTTATTAAATTTGAGCCCCCAAATGAGATACTATTAGCTTTGAAAGTCAAGTTTAACTGCGATATTGATGATTCTCTTTTTTCTGTGACAAAATTCACCAGGGAAACCCCTGATGTCAAAGTACCAAAGCAGATTGCTAATACTGAAGGAGGAGGGGAGGAACAGCGCAAAGGAGAAGAGGGGGTGAGGCGAGAGAGGGAGAGATAAACAATGTAGACGCTGCAGAGATACAACAGTGGCAGGGCCAAGTCCTTTCACCTCTACTTATTTCTGCTGTGGTCCTTTGCCGTTAGGTTATAACAATAAATTGGACAGTAAAAGAAGGAACATATCCTTAAAATGCAATATAAAGCTAGGTCATCAGCCAAAAGGAATGTAAATGTTCCTCAGATGTAAAACTCAGATTACATAAATCCAAATATTTATCCTAATGTTTTAATTATTTAGAATGGGCTGCATTGTGTCTTCCTTCCTTCCTTCCTTCGCTTAATTTCTTAACTAAGGGGGGGTTGCCTGATTATTTTCAATATTGTTTATTAAACTCAAACCTTACATGGACAAGGGAAAGAGAAATGCTTGTTATACATAATGCTCCCTTTCCCCCTTTTTCACTAGCTCACTCCGAGAGTCCAATTTCAAACTGCAGTTGGGGACTATGTTTTTTGAATATTGCTATTATAGCATAAACATTAATTCACAGGGACAACTAGCACTGCCATTGTTGTACAGGAGAAGGGTTTTTTTTCCTGCTTTCCTTCCTGACATGCTAGGTATCCATGTGAAATCTGAGGGACGGAGGGGGGGGGGTTGTTTTTTGTTTTTTTAATAGGAAGATACATTTCCATTGTGTGAACATTCTTTCCTGCAGTCTGGAATGTTATAGTACAGCTCAGGGAAAAGTAGATATTTGAGGTTTTACAATTCCACTAATGCCCACTAATTCAGTGTACTTACAAAAGAATATCCCCTTCACACATTTTCCCACAGTGTTGATCTGAAGCATAAAAGAAAGCACCTAAGTGTATGGTTAACGTCTGGCATGCTGCATACAAACTGTAGATTTTCAAGGACTTCAAAGCTATGGGAAGATAGGACATTATACATGTGTCCTTTCACTCTGAGGCTGAAAATAATCCCTCAAAACTAAAAGCAATTGTTTAACAAAACTGTACCAAAGAAAAAAATGGAATGAAGGGGCTCTACATATATCCCCCTAAAGCACAGGGGTTTTTTCTACACAAAGAAAAATATTTTCTTCTAAAGAAGATAAGATGTTTCCCAACTTTGATAGGAATATGCTGTGAAGGAAATTGCAGAACTTAGTCCAATCTTTCTTTAGGATTTCCAGAATAAGGGCGTGATCAATACAAAGCCAAACTGACATCTTTTTTTGTACATATTTTAAAAGTATTTCTAAAATCTGCAAATATACTGTTCAAAAAAATAAAGGGAACACAAGCAGAAAACATCCGAGATCTGAATGAATGAAATAGCCTTATTAAATACGTTGTTCTTTACATACAGTAGTTTATACACTGCTCAAACAACTAAAGGGAACACAAAACTACTGTATGTAATGAACAAAGTATTTAATAAGGCTATTTCATTCATTCAGCTCTCGGATGTCTTCTGCTTGTGTTCCCTTTATTTTTTTGAGCAGTGTATATTCTAAAACATAGAAGACCAAAGCTTCTTATGTCCTGCCCAAAGATTCTATTTTTTATTGTGAACTGAGATTGTTTAATTTCTCATGCATCCAAACAGATATGCCTGTATTTAAAAAACAGAGTTATTGGTTTATATCTGTTGTACAAAGCGCATTATCCTGAGACAGTATATAGACACCCATGGTCTGGGTGGTGGTGAAGGGAAATAGATAAAAAGTGAAAGCATCTAAACATATAAGGTGGTTGTTTACAAACCAGTTGTTAGGTGCGACACAATATATATTTTTTAAATGAATCAGGTCACACATGTGGTAAAGAAATCTATATATAGGAGCGTAAATGTATTCAAAGGTAACACTGGATAAGAAGTCCCCAAAGTGTAAAGACTACATATGTTTATTTGCTTCTCATTTCTACATTTTGGAAACAGACGCAGTTTTCTGAGGGAACTGTGACGAGACTCTTGGTGAGAAAAGGAGGGGAATAAAGGTGTCAAAAGTTAGCTTGTAATTAAAATTTTCTATTTGATGGTGCATCTGGGAACATTTTCCAGGTGATTTATGCAAACAGATACAATAAAGGCAGATTTGTCTGCAGTAGCTATGATAGGCATGGGAATTTTGCATATGTAGCCATTGGTAAAATCCTTCTCTTCGCTGTAATTTTAAAAAATACCCCAATTTGAACAAATACTGTAAAACTATAAAATATTTTTATATGAAGCAAACAATAAGGAACTACCATTCCTCATTGCTATTATTGTGTCCAGCTGGTCTGGGACTCTTCCTCCCATCTCAAAAGACCTTCCTCAATGCAACACAGCAACAGTCCATGGAGGCCATGGTGAGTGGGCCATTTTTCCCCATAGCAAGCTACTCTAAGAATGATTAAAAGCAGGTGCCCAAATTATCTTGTTTTTCTTCACCCTCCTCTGCCATTCTTTTAAGACTGTAACCTTAAAAGTCAGAGAATCTGGATTTTATCATCCTAATAACCTTTAGCTCCTTGATGGGAACTT